TTTTTTATATTTAGTGACAAATATAATCATTGCCAAAGGTTATATGGGGTTAAACCAATTTATTTTTTTGGTGATGAACAAAACATTGGCGACCAAATGAGAATATTTTTGGCGACGACATTATGGTCGCCTATTGTGCACTTTCGGAGACAAATTTTTTGTTGTCGCTAAAAACTTTCCCAGATAGTTTTAGGCGACAAAACAACGACGAAATGACTTTGTCGTCGGAAATGTTTAGCGACCGTAATTTTATTTTTTGTGACGCATTAGTTTGTCGCTAAAATCCAAATTTGTTAGTGTTTAAAATGCACAAACGTATACTACTACACCAAAATATACATACACTAGTACACCAAAACCCATGCATACACACACCACGATACCAAAATACACATACACACATAGGAACACAAAAATACAAACACTCACACACACACACACTAGTAGTTAGTACACTAAAATACAAACACACATTCTAATATGCCAAAACACACATATAGTCACAAACTAAATTTTTTGGTCCACCCGGGTCTAGGGGAAGGGTCAGGGTGGTTCTAGGATTGGGGTCAGCTCTAGGTCTAGGGCTAGGTTGGGGTTGAGGTCTGAGGCTGGGTTCAGGTCCAATGTTGAGTTTGGGTATGGGGGTCTGCTGGAGAAAGAACCGAGTATAAAGAGTGAGAGAGACAAAGACAAAGAGAGTGGTAGGGACGGGATATGGGAGAGCTGAATGGGCATGAGAAACAAGAAGAGAGATAGAGAGAGAGAGAGAGAGAGAAGGGATAATTTTTTTTTTTTTTGGGGGGGGGGGGGGGGAATTTCAGAGTGAACTTAAGCCATTAGTTTATTTTTCTAAAAACTTTTAAAACAATTTGAACCATGAAAAATAAAAATCATTTTTATGTCATTGGGAAATTGAAATCATTTATACAGTCACCTTAATTTTTGTATACGTTCTCACAAGTTTTTTCAATTTCAAATTATATTGCATGTGTGCTAGCTAGCATATACACAAATTTATCATACTAGTATTTAAGCATTAGGTGGGTTATACTTCTTTATGTGGGTGAAATTATCTTATATTCTTAAATTTGGGGCTCTTGCTTAGTGAAACATCGATTAAAAAAAAACCAACACAACTTGTTTAGCCCTTGAAACTGATCGTTTGCAAGTAAGCTTTATTATTCTAAGTGATACAAACCTCAATATATATTTGAAACTTATAGTCACTTAAAAGTTTAATACTATAGCTAGTGAAATCATTCTAAAGAGATAAGTTTGAATTAATTTAATCCTGTGACGATGTAATACCAAGTTTAGATTGAGTTGTAGCGATCCGATATTAATTTCTCAGTAATCCCAATTTGATTGATTATTGTCATTTAGCACCTAATATTAGATATTAATAAATACCATATGGTAAGTGGTATAATTTTTAACAAGTTTAGTAAAAAAAACACAATGATTTTACTACCCTTAAAAACCTAGATCCACACTTCTATATAAAAGTTACATATTATGCAAACTCTTGCCCTCAATATTTGTTTTTTAATTTTCAATTGAATACCATACACTATTACCTAATCCAAACATAAATTTGGTATTATAATTATAGATTTACATCTTAGTTCAACCTTGATCTAAACTTGTTAATGCCATTTGTATGGATTGGATGAGAACCAATTATCCAATCCCATACTTTATTTGTACCCGAATCAAACATGTCCTATATTAAGACACTTTCACTAATTTTTCTATTCGATGTGGAATTTACACACATATACACTAAAAATTTAACCCCTTATGCGTGAACCAATGGCGGAGCCACATGAGGATCTCCGCCCGAGGGGGGGGGGTAGTGGCCCCCCTTCACGTTTTTTAAAAAAAAATATTACATATGTATATTTTAAATTATTTTATGAATATTTAAGTGTGTCCATTCTATTATTTTTCTTCTATCAATTAGAATATTCATATAACTAGATATTTATAAACTTTTGGACACACTTTACACCCTTATAGATAGGTCTAGATAAATTTTTAACACATCAGACTCATTTTTAAAGTTATAGAGATTATGAAAACTACGTTAAATAACTTAATGAGTGGTCAATGACTAAGAGCTTGATTGGTTATATAGAGAAAGACTATAGCATCTTTTATATAGTTAGTCTCATATGTTGTGAAGGGTTGTAATTAGTTTTTTTTTTTAATTTGTATATATTATATTTATCGACGTTTGATAACTTTTGTATTTTATGAATTTTTAAGTATCAAATACAATGCCATAAATTTAAATATATTATTTTATTTTTATTAATTGGGAAAAAAAATTTAAAATTTTTGAATAACGTGTCCACCTTAGATAAAATTTATGGCTCCGCCACTATCGTGAACCCACTACAAGAAAAAATAGTTCTTACGGCGGTTAAGTGTTGTAATAAAAGGTCTATTTGCCGTCACAAATACTTTTTGTGGCGGCATTGCTTCGCCATAATAAGTGTGGTGTCAAAAGGTTTTTATGGCAACAACGGTCTGTCTTACATAGTATTTACGGTAGCAAGATCCCGTCGTAAATAAGTTGTCAGAAAAAAACCGATTTACGACGGCAATGATGCTGCTACAAAAGAAAAACATTTTTTTTAATTATTATGGATGGTTGGTAACCAATGTTTTATACCCTGTGTATATATACACTTCCATCACATGAATTTGAAAGCGTTGTGCACATCTATATAACTTTTTTTTTTTTTTTTGGGAGGGGAAGGGAAGGGGATTTGAACCATTGACCTCAAGAAGACAAAACTTTCAAATGGTAAGAAGTACCATTGGACCAAAGACCTATTGGTATCCGTATTACTTAGGGCTGTCAAAATCCGACACGACACGATTAACCGACACAAATCGATATGAATTAAACGGGTTTGAGTGAGATCTTAATGAGTTTGAGTGATAAACGAGTTGACACGCCAAACACGTTTAATAAACGGGTCGTGTTCGGATGAGATCTGTCAAACCGTTTATCACACGTTTATCTGTTTAAATAAAATTAATATAATAATAAATTAATAATTATTACTTAATTTAATATATAAATAAACACAAAAGTAAATATGACCAACATTTCAAAAAACATAGTAATATTTTCATAAAAAAAACAATATCATGAGTTAAACAAAATGTAAAATATGTACTTTTACAAAACATAATGATCCAAGAGTACAAGAAATTAACCCAAAAAGTTGATCATCTTTTTCAAACCATCTAATCTCTTAGTGACATCTGAAAAAAATATTAAATTATTGTTACTATACTAAAATGATATTTATATACATATATACAATAAATAACTAAAAGAAGTTAGAATATATATCAATAGAGGGTCACACAATATTTCGCTGAACGGCTTGTCCAATTATGTAAATGGTATATAAATGAGTCATATCGTATACATTTCTTCTAATTGGTTTCACTAATACTTGATTCGTTTATAATCGTATCGTATCGGATCCACTCGTTTATTAAACATGTGGTGTAACGAAAACTCAAACCCACTAAATTTATATTGTGTTAACAGGTCGTGTCATATATTGAACTATAAATTGTCTTTTGATGTAAAACTACGTAATTTTATAAAATATTACTTGTAACATGAAAAATAGTTGTGGCCAATACAATTTTTTTAGATTTTTTATTCTTTAAATTATAAACTATTTTTTAATCTAAAACAACATTTTAATGTTTTATGAAATATTATATACAATGAGAAAACTAGCTACTATAAATAAAAAAAATTCCTTTGAGTTTATGAAATATTATTTGCGATAGGAAAAACATCTATTTCAAATACAAAAATTTATTTTAAGTTTATGAGACTATTTATTGCAGGAAAAATAACTGCCACAAATATTAATAAAATATTAATACAAACACGTTTTTTTGCGACGGTAAACACAATCGTCACAAAAAATTGTTTCAAACACGTCTTTTGTGACAGCAAACACAACCATCGTAAAAAAAAAATGTCACAAAAAACCTTTATTGTTACAGTGACCACACCAGACTTCGGATCCACCACTCTTGATGAGTACTGTGTCTAAATCACTTTCTGTCACAACTCACTCTTCAAGAACCACGTCTTATCCTGTATCTATAGAGGATCCAATGGTCAAAGAATTGCTAGTTTCTAACTTTTGGATACTGAACCACTCATGAGTGACTCACCATGTTCATCCAATATTCCACCAAAGCCACCCAATTTACAACCTGTTAATCTGCCACTAACACAGTCTTCATATGCTTCTCTCTTCAAGCAAACATCCAAACTGGTGTTAGTGGAAGAACCAGTGCCCAAGATTGAGAAACCTATTGTATTTTATGAGGGGGAGCCTGCTTTTTACTTCACTAATGAGGAGATCAAACAATCTTGCTTATCTCTGCAATATGCATTAATAGGCAAGTGTGCCTATGGTAGACCAAGTATAGGCGTGATTAGAGAGGTGATAAGGTTTAAAAGGGGTTCGAGAGGTGAATTTGAAATTGGTTCAATAGATCCAAGGCACTTGTTGATATGTTTTGAAAAATAGGAGGATTATGTGAAAACGTGGTTGAAAGATGCTACTATCATAGAGGATTATTTATTTAGATTCTTTAAATGGTTTCCTGCTTTCGTATCAGGGATTGAGCCATCCATTGTGCCTATGTGGATATCATTACCTAGATTGCCTCTTAATTTTTTCAAGAAACCGTTTTTGGATTTGCTGGTAAAACCCATTGGCAAAGTTTTGGCATATGATCAAGCGACACTCTCGTTGTCCAGGCCAGGGATAACAAGGGTATGTGTGGAGGACAATCTACTTGCAAATAATCCAAATAGAATTTGGATTGATATGGGAGTTGAGGATGCAAGATGGCAACGGATAGTATATGAAAGGAACAAGAAATTCTATAAAAGTTGCAGGAAATAGGGCCATGAGGAACTTGAATGCAGGAGGAAGAAACCAATGGAGCAATTGATGGTCTCAGAAGGAAAGAATCCAGTCACAGAATTAGCAGAAGACGAAAAGGAAACTAAGGACAAGAGCAATGGAAAGAATTTTTTAGAGGCAAGTGCAGAGCAGATTAAGGGGAAGGAAATAATGCAAAATTCAAATTCTGGGAAAACAAATAAGGAAACAACATATCAAGGAAAATCTCAGTCGCAGTTAAAGCACTCAAAGCTAGCACAGCAGTGGAGAGGGAAGAAGCAACAACAACCTAAGCAAGTCAATAACCCAATAAAGGAAACAACAGTCACTTTTGGCAAGGAAATATTTTCGGTAATTACAGAAGGTGACATGGAGAAACAAAAATCTTTTACAAGATTGGAAAAGGGTGATCATTCGGGTAAAGACAAAATAGTGCAGCATGGAAAGTATATTCCTGCAAAGAAAAGTGTGCAGCTGATAGATTCTGAGAATCCTATGGCATGTGATACACTCTCTAATCATAACAATGTAGCCAATCCTTTTGATCAAAACAATGATGCTAGTCCTCCATATCATAACAATGAAACCAATCCTCAGGCCAAAGATTTAGAGAATCCACCATTGTCTAAGTCAGCTTCGATACTAGAAAAAGAGGATCATGAACAAAATCTTATGAACACCAACCAGCACTCAGAAATCCAAGAACCGTAAATTGTAAATGAAATCAATCCCATTGATCAAGAATTAACGGAAAATCAGGTTACATCAGGCTATGATTCTGCTGCATATAAGTTGGTTAATTTAAATGATGAGGAGGATGAAAATGAATTTTCTATTTCTTTTGAAGATGTCTCAGACGATGGGATAGATGAGTGCTCTTCCTTGTTGGATTATGGTCACTATAAGCAAGATTTTGAATACTTAATAGTGGAGGCCGGGGAGAAATCAAAGTCCATTACTTCGGAAATGATGGCAACAATCCATAAAAATATTCATAGTCAAGGAGAGATAATTCCAAGCATGTCAGGGGAGGAGATTCAAAAAGCCTTGAAGCTAAGATGAGTTTATTCAAAGGATGACTACGTTAAGAGGTCTTCTCTTCATGAGCAATCAAGGGGTTTTTACTCTGATGCGGAGGAGGCACCAGTAGTTCAAGAAAAAAATTTCAATTCTTTTATGACATCTTCTAAAAAGTTACTGTCAATATGTAATAAGATTGAGATGCAGAAGAAGAGAAAAGAGGAGGAGTTGTTTGCTTTGGCTTTGGCACTTCATAAAGTCAAACCTATAATTATGACAACATCAAGAACATTCAAGTTGTCAAAGCCAAAGAAATCTTATGGATTTAAATATTATTTTTTTTTATGGATTGGTTCTACTTGACGAGGTCTCCTGCAGTCACTACTATTCTTGCATTCTGTCTTTCAGCATTCTTAATACTGCCTTTCAGCTGAGTTATTCGAAGAAAGCAGCAGCGTTTGAAGTCATTGTTAAGATTTTATTTTGTATTTAAAGTTCTTTTATTATGTAAGGGGAAATGTTTATATCCTCTCCTCTCTTTATAATTTTGTTATTAATAAAATTTGCCCTAAATAGGTTTAACTTAAAAAAAAAAAATGGTCAACAGCTTCACCATTCTATCAGGCAAAGCCAAGTGACCTGTGAGATTTTAGGACACTACATCATTATTGTGCAGGGACTCGTCAACTGTTTTCGTGACTCTAATTCCGAAAGCTCATTTCGTCCTTTTCAGGAGTTATCATCGATACTAACACGCTCCACCGCTTAGAGAGTCTAATTTATTTTTTTTTCTCTCGTATATAGAATTCTCACACATGTAATGTCCAGCACAAATCCTCCTTTGAATGGTCATAAAAGTATATAAAACGCTACCCTCATGATATAATAGATCTTCTGTACTGACCTCCGTTTGTGCCAATTCATGATATAACGTTGTGATACTTGAAAAAATTTAACAGTACAGTGAAAAATAATTTACTTAATTGAGAGTTTAGAATTTTTACCTAAATCAGATTAAGGCAAATAAAAAATTGTTTGAGTGAAAGATTTCAAAATAAATACAACAAAGTTTTATAAAATAGAATTGAGTATGCGAAGCTGGCCCCACTAAGTTACATGTGGCTCCGCCACTGCTCATGAACAACATTTTTGAGAACTAAAAATCTGATTTTCTTTGTTCATCTATCAATACAACAATGATAAAACTGACCCGGTCGCATCATTAAATAATAAATTAGATTATATTTTTAAGTTCCACCAATGTTACTCTACGAGAAAACTAGCATGTTTTTAAGTAGAATAATACTTCTTGAAATACAATAAGTTGCCTTGCTTCGACCTGAGGTATACAACAAAATTCCCCTTGATCGTTGCCAGATGTGCTTGACGGCGCTCCATAAGACACCCACTTGGCGATCTTTAACTCCGGCTATTAAAAAGGTCTCAACTAGTTGGACAGCGTTCAATACCCTATTCTGCTCATCTTCTTTGTCAAATGTTTGATTGGGATGTTGTTACATGGGTTCCTAAACTTGGAATAGATGGTGGAATGTAGATGGCAAGCATTTAAAAGAATATGGTGCTTAATTTACCAAGTTGAAAAATCACATTTTTGTTCCATTTCTTTAACATGAGCTATGGGTTGGCAAACTAAGCGAAGCAATGTTATTGTAGTTGTGATCATTGCTTAATCATGTCTTGACTCTAGTATATATCCCAAGAATGAACAAGCTCAATAACCGTTCTAGTTGTGATCATTCTTTGCCAATGCCTCAAGCATGGCTTTAATGAGATGATTATCATTACAAACACAATGAAACTACAGAAAATTTATCACTACAACACCAAGGGGATCACTACAGAAAATTTATCATTACAAACACAATGAAACATGAGAAACACTAGCAAAATAAAATGAGGAAGGAACTAAAAAATACAAGAAACATAAATAGTAAAATTGATTCTCTATTAACATAGACTAATCACTGTTCCTTTACCTGCCTTAGGTTCGAGTTATTCTCTAACTCTTTGTTCATACCACAGTTCTAAAATGAAAAGTAACAATGAAAGAAAATGAGTACAACTTATTCTCTTCGCAACAATAACAGTACAATTGAATTCAATAAGAATAATAACATCAACTTTATCATCAACAAATGAGTTGCAGCCGACTACACTCTAATAAAAGAATTTCGGCCCTCTCAGATTTCGAGTTTCACAATTTTGGTCAAGTTAAAATCATCCATCATTAAATTCAATGGGTCCAACCACCTAACAGGATATCTCCATAATATTTATGGTTCCCTTATTTGTGGTCAAACAACATAAATTGAAATTTTCCCTGGTAGGTTTTTCCTTCAGGAAAAGGATGGCCAATTCTATCTATCAACCATAGTGAGAGAGGTGGAATGCTTTGCTGGTCCCTAAAAAAATTGTCAGGATCAACCAAGGTCTTCACATATACCAATCGGTTGAAGTTGTTTTGAAAATATTTAGCACCCCAAATACTTGCTTGCGCATAGGTTGTGTTCCCTTCATTATTGACTCCTATATCAAGATCCCTGTAATTGATATATGCTTGTCTTGGATTCTTGGAAACATAGGGAGCCATATATTCATAAAGCATTCGAGTCCAATTGATATATCTTTCCAAAATACGTTATCCCTTGTTCTTCCCAACCCACCTGATATTCAATTTTGTAAATGTTCCCAGCTCTATGGAGGAAAGGTGTTTCAGAGTCTAAAATCTCACTCATTTTTCCTCCATAAGGAGTCAACACAAGCACAGTATCTCCATCCTTTACTTCAGAGAACCTGTCCCATATTCCTTCGAACGCACTTTCTGGAATAGGTTTCTTCACATAATCTGACTTTATTTTGTAATTGCTTCTATATGGATAAATCCTATTTAGTAAAGAGTCCAATGAATCTACTTTGACTCCATAGAAAAAGAGAACGGAGTCTATCCAGCTCACTTCGGAACAATCATTCCTCACCAAACCCAATTCTGGGAATTCTTCTTCTATTAGAGAAAGTAATCCATCAACTCCACCGAGGAACAATGAAAAGAATGAAACTTCTAGTGTTTTCTTCCCATTTTCAGTAGAATTTACATTCCTTGCCACAACTCTGATGAAAAATCTGCAATGTATTGCCACCGATGTACAAGCTTTGTTGCATTTTGTTCCAATGTTTTGATGACTGTGAAAATAGTTACAGTTTTTGGAACCGTAACTAAACTTAATTTCCATTCTAAGATAACACCAAAACTAGCGCCTCCACCTCCTCTAATAGCCCAGAAGAGGTCTTCTCCCATTGATTTTCTATCAAGAATTCTACCATTGACATCAATCAATCGAGCGTCAATTACATGATTAACAGCAAGACCAAATTTGCGAAGCAAAATACCGTATCCTCCCCCACTTATATGTCCGCCAGCACCCACGGAAGGACAAATACCCCTGGAAAGACAAGTGTGCTACTCTTATTTATGATGTTATAATAAAGTTCACCAAGAGTCGCACCAACTTGAATCCACGTCGTGTTGTCTTTAGTATTGACAACAACTAATCACATATTTTTCATATCAATGATGATGAATGGTACAGGGGAAACATAAGAAAGACCCTCATAGTCATGTCCTCCGCTTCAAACCCTTATCTGTATGCCATATTTTCGTGAACAATATATAGCTCTTTGGATATGAGACTCATGCAGTGGTGTGATTATGGCCAAAGGTCGCAGGGAGCTGGGTGAAGTGAATCTTAGGTTTTGAATAGAGAAATCTAAGACAGATGAGTACGAAGAGTTGTTTGGAGTATAAATAACTTGGGAGATTGCGGTGGATTTCTTAGATGGATGGGAAAGACATTGAAGAAAAGCTTTATTGGAATGAGCTGAAGCTCCCCATAAAAATGAAAAGAGAAAAACAAGAAAAAGAGAAAGCAAAGAAGCTCTTGGGGTTGTCATCATATTAATTTGAAGCTGGTTTTGTGAGGAAAAACGTTAGGCAATGTCAGCTATTTATAGCTCTTTAAATTCAAGTTTTTTTCATTTTATTTTTCAAAGGTTACATGGTTGAATATTGAGTTCGTCAATACCCAGTAGCTGACATTTTCCATGGTGATCTTTTTTGAGTTGGGCGAATGAGAAAATGCTGAATTGAAAATTTCAACACCGTTAGAAACACCACTAACTCAGCATCATGAACTAGTTAATAATCACTACGTAAAGTTGATTTAGGATATGGGATTGCGTCGTTGTTTCTTATGAATCCTTGTTACGTGAAGTGTATGCAAGCGGATTAGTTATTGACTTGTCGCTATGGGCAAAATTTGAGTTGGGTTTTGACCTTAAGGCTTCTTGTGAAGGCAACAGAGGAAATGGACAGCCAATCCATTCGGAAAGTAGTGTTTTGCCACTACTCTTCTCAGCCAGCCCCGTCTCTGTCAACGTATTTTATGTTTTGTCTCTCATAAGTCATAACTCTTTCTCAGTCCGACATACGCATAACAATGGACAACTATCCAAATATCAAAAGGTTGTTCCTTTCCAAAAATATTTTCGATCCAAGGGTACTTCCCACAAAATAATTCCCATAGTAATTTTTTGCTTAGTCAATTAAAAATGTTTTTCATGTCAATTATATGCCAAAAATATAGGACTTGGCTCGTAAAAGTAAAAATGTAATTATTTTGTAAAAAGTTTTATTTGAAAAAAGTCAAATTTAAAACAGATATTAAAATCTAAAAAATGGACAAAATAGTTTCATTTCTATTTTTAAGAATTTTTTTTTCTTTTTAGGAGTTAGGCCTGCATTATTAGGGAGCTGTTAATCTCTATTGGCTTGAATGGGAACACAAATGGTGTAATTGTCTTAGTTGAATATCATTTTTGAGTCTCACTTTTCAACTGCAATGACCCACTACTACGGTGTATATACTTTTCAACTGGATCGACCCGTATGTTGTGTTCCCTTTACGTGGATGGTGCTTTTTTTTTGTGAGTGGCAAGCACTTATTTTTAACCTAGGTGCATAAGTGATGTGTTAAATGGTATGGATATTTGGCGACTATAGACCACATCCACCAGAATTCGCACACTTCCACAAATAAATGATCAAACTAAAGTATGCGTGTACATACAACCTTGCTCATGTAAAACCTTCTATAAAGCTTAAACACAAATACACGTATTCGGAGAAAACTATGACACATGCACAATATACATAAATGCAAAGATTTCAATCTAAATGGGTTACAAAAACTACCACCATAGAATTAAAGGTCTACAACATTTATCCAATATTTTATGCAACAATCTGTTGATCAAAAAAAAAATTAATCCATGATCTCGAAAGAAGGAAAGAAGTGGATAAAATCAACCCATAAATTTTTGTCTCATTAAATTTTTTCCACCTGCAAACCAAAAATAACAAAATACCATGTCCAATAAAAATGATTTAAAGAACCAAAAAGAAAGTATACTCAATATGGGTCATATAACTTCTATATACATTAACATGGAAATATAACTGCATTTAACTCTGGGGGTTCATATCCCCCAAAGCATCCATTTGAGTCTTTATAGCTTCCACATAGGACTCATTCAACGGTCCACCCAAATATACCTACATTGGTGAATGTATTAACATATAAGAATTTTACTCACAAAAGAAAACATGGAGAGGGAAAAAACACTAAAAAAATTAGTAGTCTTCTATCTTGTAGGTAAAATATCACGGGACCATATTGAATCGACAGAATGAGAATTAGTTACCAAAAAAGGATGAAAAAAGAAAATTGTACATAAAAAGTATTGCCCGTAAGTTACCAAAAGTGAAGATACACTTCCCATTAACTTCCAAAAAAAAAATTCACCATAATACAACAAAACTTTCATCAATCAACTTTTGAATATATAAATTTTACTCTCCTCCACCTCAACGATCAAGTATATATGTCTCTTATCCCAATTATATTCATCAGTACAATTTTCATTACAATTACCGTTATGAAATTATCACTGTTTAGCACGTCTAACAAAGTAAAAAATATATATATTAGCATCGTATAATAAATTGAATACTCCTAGAAGAATAGAGCATTAGAAAAGTACATAAAAGAAGAGCTGACCAAGTAAACAAATTTCAAATTGTTTAGAACTAAGGAACAAAAATTAGAGTTTGATTAAATGAAAGGTAGACAAAAAAGAAATAACTTCATGCATTGAATAAACCACTAATGGCAAATTCGCCGGTGAATTACATCTGTATTTCACAAACTAACAATCCATTGCATCTAACATAAAGCTTGGCCCTTAGAAAATCGACCAATCAAAGAATGATGATATTATTCGGCAAAATAAATGATTAACTCATTGTGCGTAAAAAGGATTTCAAACCATGCTTCCTAAGAACACCAAACACAAAGAATAATTAAAATTGATAATATCTATCCAGAAATCCAAGCAACATTTGTGCTCTTTATCGTGCATTAAAATGAAGAACTCATTGAAAGTTCTATGAATATTTTCCTACTTGTAATGTGTACCATAAAACAAAGTTTAATAGAATTAAAAAGAGATAATCTGGGAACACAAGAAAATTCAACAACAAAAAGAGAAAAATAAGGTAAAAAGATATCAATATAAAAAATTCATGATAATGCATTAGAAAACAACCAAAATTTAAATAGCAAACCATATATAATACTTTGTCGTTGCCGTGTAGAACCAAAAACTTATGTCATAGGGGAAGAAACTTCAAGTCACTTTCAACATAGATGAAGTCCATTCTCACAATCTAGGCAACGACATAAGGCGGATATGAAAACAGATGTGACGGAACTTGCACTTGCAAGGCGGATGTGGAAAAAGAAATTCACACAGATAAAAAATAGCCACGAAGCCTTTTGTTTCGATAGATCAAGCCTTTATTAGGTATTTCGTCGAATGGTTTGCGAGCACACTTGAATGCAAGTAATTAGATTTATAATAAAGCTAACATAATTCCAAGTAATTATATCAAAATAAATGAAGGTAATTATACCAGTTGAATGTCGGGGGGGTCATTTTTTTTACTTTGGTCCAAAAGCAGATATTCTAGAGAGAAAAGTTAGAACTTCTTCCCATATTCCGCCAAAATCACGTGATTTACAACCTGTTAATCCTCCACAAACATAACCCACCTATGTTTCCCTCTTCAAACAATCATCCAAACCTGTTTTTGTGGAAGAATCTCTACCCAGGATTGAAAAACCTGTTGTTTTTTTTATGAGGAGGAACCTGCTTTCTACTTCACCAATGAAGAGGTTAAACAATCATGTTTATCTCTTCAATATTCGTTAATAGGCAAGTGTGCCTATGGCAGACCTAGTTTGGGCGTGATTCGAGAAGGGATAAGGTCTAAATGGGGTTTGAAAGGCGAGTTTGAGATTGATTCCATAGAACCAAGGCATGTGTGGATACGTTTTGAAAAGTAAGAAGATTATGTGAAGACATGGTTAAAGGATGCTATGATTGAAGACTACTTGTTCCGATTCTTCAAATGGTTTTCAGGCTTTGTCCAAGGAATAGAGCCTTCAATTGTGCCATGTGGATCTCTTTACCTGGCCTGCCACTGAATTTTTTCAAGAAAAACTATTTGGAGGTTCTAATTAAGCCGATTGGGAAAGTATTAGAGTATGATCAGGCCACATTGACACTTTCAAGATCGGGGGTTGCTGGAGTGTGTGGGGAAGTCAATCTTTTAGCCAACAATCCATCTAGAATTTGGCTGGATATAGGTGATGAGGGAGCTAGATGGCAGCACATAGTGTATGAGAAGAGCAAACATTTCTGCAAAACGTGCAGAAAGCAGGGTCACAGCGAGGAAGAATGCCGCAGAAAGAAATCGCAAGAAAATATGGAAAGCAGAGATTTACTTCCCAAAGAATTCAAGGTAAATAAGGTTATTACATAGAAGAATAAAGGAAAGTAGGTCCAGCAAATCTTGGAAATTGATGGAAAGTAGAGCCAGCCAAATATGGAGAATAATGGGAATAAAGGAACTCAATCGCAATTAAAGATTTCAAACGGACCACAGCAGCAAAGAGGAATTTGGAAACCACAATACATGCAGAAGAAAGTTGTAGGGAAGCAAGGAAATTCGGTGAATGTCAAGGAAACTATGGCACAAATTTAGGAAACGTATAAGGAGGACACAGTGAGAGTGATGGAGGATAGAGATCACTTAGGGACAGATAATATCTCTTTGCCACAGGTTGACCCTAGAGGCCTTGGTGGTCCAGCGGAGGTAATTCTGGTAGCGAATAAGGAAGGTTTGGATATTATAGAAAAGGAAATTCGAGACACAAGAAATGAAACTTTGGGTAATGTATTAGAGGATATTCGGGAGACTAGTAAGGAAACTACAAAGATTGCAATTATGGTGATTACCAATGGTCAGCCTGAAGCTTCAGCTATGGAGAAAACCAATGACCAGTCTGATGGACCGTGTCTATTGAATAATCAAATATCCTTGGCTTCGGATTCCACATTCTTTGTAGATCATGATTATATTCGTGTTGGTAATAGCGGTACATCTTTGGATGATGACAGAGGTCTGTATTGTGCTAATGAACCACATGATAAAGGCTTCCACTCTGATGTTGAGGTTACTACTAATCTTGCATGTGTTGAAATTGACTCAATTAACTTGCAAGTGGAGGATTATAAACCATTCAGGCATTGTTACTAGATCCAAATCTAGGAAGCAATCTTTACCCCAAATTTCTTATAATTAATACAATTTCTTGGAACGTGAGGGAAGCGAATACAGAAACTTCCAGAATAAGGCTTAAGGAACTTGTTAAGTTAAACGATGTATGTTTAGTATCTCTTCTTGAACCAAAGTTTCTGCCTTCTAAATTGCAAAGTTTATGTGTTAGCTTGGGCTATTCCTCTTACATGGCAAATTCGATGGCTGAAAAACATATTTGCATTCTTTGGGACCACAGAGTGAAAGTTAATGTGATTGCAGTGCATGAGCAAACTTTGACTGTTGAGGTGTCTTTCTTGGGGTTATTGTCGTTCTTTATTAAATTTGTCTATGCAAAATGTGATCATTTACTAAGAAGATCATTATGGTCTCATTTGGCTGATATACAATTTTCTGATGCGCTTTGGATGCCAGTAGGTGACTTCAATACGATTGTTTTCTCTACAGAGAGAAAGGGTGGAGCTTCTCCCTCTCTTGCTGTTATGAATGAATTTGTGTCTTTCATAAATGAAGTTGGTCTATATGACTGTGGTTTCTCTGGGACGTCTTTCACTTGGTGTAATAACTGCCAAGGTATGTCTCGCATGTGGCAAAGGATTGATAGGGCTCTGGATAATGTTAATTGGGGGGATAGATTTGAGAAGACAGAAGTGGAGCATGCTAGTAGAATTCACTCTGATCATTGTCCTCTTATCTATAGATTCTCTGAAATTGCAGCCCCATGGAAGATATCTTATTTTAAATTTCGGGATATGTGGACAGCACATCCGGGTTTTCTAAAGTTAGTGGAGAATAACTGAATGGACAGTTATTCTAAGAACCCAATTGAGAACGTGTTTTTGAAACAAAAGTATTTGAAATTCCTTTTAAAAAGGAGGAATAAAGAATTTTTTGGTAATGTGTTTGATAATATCAAAGTGAAAGAAAGGAAGTTGCAGCGAGCTGAACGAAGAGTGGAGGAGGATGATTATGAGCTCAATGAGCAAGCTTTGAGCAATGCTAAAATGGAACTAGATAAGGTTCTCAGACTGGAGGAAATGTATTGGAGGTAGAAAGTGAGCATACAATGGGCCTTTGAAGGGGAAAGAAACACCAGACTTTACCATGCCATTGCTAGAGGCAAGGTCGCCAGGAACAGGATTTCAAGAATTAAGAATGCAGAGGGTCACTGGTTAGAGGAGGAAGAGGCTATTGCTAATTGTATAGTGGATTTCTTTTCTGCACTATATAGCTCTGAAGCCTACTCTATTGATTATGGCTTGTTTAACAGTATTCCCAGGCTGGTTTCTCTTGAAGAAAATATGATGCTTACCTCCCCAACCACTTTATAGGAACTCAAATCTATTATATTTGGCCTGTCTACGCAGAGTGCACATGGAGCTGATGGAGTCTCAAGTAAGTTCTTCCAAACTACCTGGGAAATTATGAAAAATGACCTTTTGGTTGCAATCAATTTTTTCCTTTAGGGTGGGGTGATTCCTAGATCAGTTAACACCACTATTTTGTCTTTGATCCCCAAGAAAGGCATTCCATCCACATTTGCCGATTTTAGACCCATTAGCCTTTGTACTTTTTTATACAAAATTTTCACAAAATTGCTAGCAAATACACTGGGGTTGTTGCTGCCTAAGCTAATTTCAGCTGAACAACATGGGTTTGTCAAAGGAAGAACTGTGGGGGATAGCATTGCTCTTACCCAGTTTATGATGAATGATCATGACCGTAAGGTGGAAGCTCGAAATGTTATTGTTAAACTTGATATGATGAAAGCATTTGATAGATTGGAGTGGGATTTTTTGAAACTTACATTGAATAGCTTTGGTTTTTTTGAAGACTTCATAGCTATTGTTTCTAACTCCCTAAGTCATCAGAATATCTCTTTATCTATTAATGGTGCTAGACATGGTTTCTGTCCCAGCACGAGAGGTTTAAGACAAGTGATCCTTTATCACCCTCTCTTTTCATCTTAGTTGAAGAGGTGTTGAGTAGAGGATTGAGATTTCAATTTGAGCAAGGTTTAATCCAAAGTTATCACACAGGAAGAGGTTTAAGGGTTCTAAGCCACCTATTGTTTGCAGATTACACTCTCATCTTCCTGAGAGAGCATAAGAGGTCTATGATCAACCTGTTGAAATTTGTGGGCAGGTATGAGCAGTCATCTGGTCAAAGAGTTAATAAAATGGAAAGTTCCCTATATTGTTCTTCTAAAATCTCAGTTGCTAGGAAGCATAGCTTATCACATGTGGCCAATATACCTCTTAAGCAAAGTCCTTACATACCTAGGATGCCCAATTTTTAAGGGGAGGGTTAAGTTACTCTATTTTGAGAAGATATTGCAGAAATTTCAGTCAAGGTTGGAGGGTTGGTATGCTAAGCTCCTCTCGAATATGGGTAGAATAGTCCTTATTAAATCTGTGCTATGTTCGCTACCCATTCATCTACTTGCTTCCTTGAACCTTCCTAAAGGGATCATAGCAAAGATGAACTCCGATGTGTCTTCTTTTATGTGGTCTAATATGGAAAATGTAAAGAAAAGGCATTTGATTTCTTGGGATAAAGTTACGCTGCCACTAAGTGAGGGTGGTTTGGGAATTCAAAAATTTGAGGAAGTGCATAATTCATTTAGAATGAAGCAGGTGTGGAACCTCTTGCAGAATAGCTCCCTGTGGTCCTCTTTCTTTTCTACAAAGTATCTAAAGGGTAATCATTTATTGCGTTTCAATAACCAGGTGCAACCCAGGTGCCTTAATGTGTTATCCCCGTGGTTTGAAGTCATCATTAGCAATTCAAAGATGTTAGTTGGTTCAGGCTCTAGTGTGAATTTTTGGTGTGATAATTGGACAAGTGGAGTCCCTCTTCTTCTTAGGAATTCCACTATGCCAGTTCATTTTCCTAAGTTGTCGGAGTTGCTTATTCAAGGTCAGTGGAAGCTACAAAGTGTAATTCACCAGTTATATCAAAATCTTCTCTAGGAGGTTCACTCCTTTGGGGTCACCCTATCTGAACAACAAGACAAGCTAATTTGGCAGCCCACTTCACTGGGGAACTTCTCTATCAAAACAGCATGGGAATTGTCTAGGAGGAATAATATGCAAGATGATCAGGCCATTAACATATGAAAGTTGTGCTCTCCTCCTACTGCACAGTTAATGGGATGGAAGCGTATGAAGAATGCACTCCCTCTAGACTCAAAATTCAAAAGTTTGGGAATTTCTATGGCAAGTAGATGCCCTTTATGTTGTTGCAAGGAGGAATCTGCTTCTCATTTATTTATCTCTTGCACTTTCAGCTCTCAACTTTGGTGCAAAATTTCTAGTTTGTTTGGTCTTCAGGTGTTTCCTTCGGAGTCTCCAATATCCTGGTTTCTCAGATTGTGCAAGATTTATTCTAAATAGTCCAAGAGTCATACTTTAAGGAGTTTACCCCAGCTGGTTTATTGGTAGTTATGGAAATAACGTTGCTATAGGGTCTTTGAGAATCAGAAGCAGTCTCCTGACTCTCTATTTTTTCTTACTATTCATCTGCTTAGGTTGCAAGCAGTTATATTTAAGCCCAAAGTCATGGATTCAGTTAGTGGACACTCTATGCTCTAATCTCTTAATGTTAGGTTATGCACAAAGGTTTTCAAGAGTGTTAAATGGATTTGTTGGAACATTCCTCCTCAGGGTACTCTCAAGTTAAATACAGATGGCACCTCAAAGGGCAACCCAGGTCAATCTGGTGGTGGTGTGGTCCTACGTAATGAGTGGGGTCAAATGGTTCTAGCTGGGTCATATTTCTATGGAATTTGTTCAAATATGGAAGCATAAATTCTTGCCCTTCTGGATGGTTTGCTTCTTGTGAAAGATTATGGTTTGGAGGCTTATCCCTTGATTATTGAGACAGATTCTCAAGTCCTTGTGGACCTGATTAAGCAGGAGTCTATGTTAGCTTGGAAGTTTTGGGCCCTCTCTAGAAAGATTGAATATCAAATACAACATTCCTATAGAGAAGGTAATGCAGTTGCAGACTCTTTGGCCAAACAAGGAGTCTGTGACCAAGTCTCTCACAGTCATACTTCCCCTCATACTCTAAATCTACATACGAGACAACTCCTACTGCAGGATCAGCGACAAATTAAATCTCCACGCTCTAAGGTCAAAGTACTCTAATAGATGATCTAGTTTTGGACCTTATGATGCAACATGCATATATGAGGAAGAAGTCTTTTTTACAGGGATACGTTAAGGCAGATCATAGTTATTTCCTAGTATACACATGATATAAGTCCATACATTCGAATGCTAAAACAAACACAACAGTCCATTCACAGTTCAAGCAAAAAACACAGTTTGTTTATACAGTCCGAATTACTGATTTATCCCTATACATGGGGGATAATTTTTCCAAAAGTAAGGAAATTCTACTAGGAAAGAATACAACAGGTACCTGTTTGTCTTCTTTTTTTCTTCAGGATCAATGTCTGAGTCTAAGGTATTCTTGGGGTTGCTCTTCATTTGGGTTTTGATCTTGTTTCATACTTCTCTGCTTTGACTGTTGGAATTCTACGAGGGTGGTCTTGATCTCTATAATTTCTGGATCCATTACAAGAGGCTTCTAATAGCCTGTGGTTGTGAAAAGGATATTCCAAGAAGATTTGTGGTTGGATGGGGCTTCTACTATTCTGTGGTTGTGAGAATATGCTTTCTATTTTTGGTCTGCAAATCTTGGAAGCCTTCGTCTTGCATTGGTCATTCTTCTCCTACTGGTCTCTCTTTTGTTTCTCTGCTGCACTGGTTTTCTTGGGCTGGATATTCATCCTTTACAATGTTTTACGAAGGAGGAGTTTAGATTTGCTCTCTTGGGAATCCCCTGACTTAGAAGCCTCTCTCCAGAGAGGTTTGCAGATCCTAGGAGGTTTTTTTAGCATTCAAAGAATCTGGATATGGTCTGTGTAGAATTATACGGATGTCTCTACTTTTATACCTTGGTCCTTTCAT